GATGTCAGTGGCGTTCTTGTTGTCAGTTTCTGTCCAGATTACCTGAGTGAATGTCTGGAGATGTAGGCACCTCGGAATGATTGTGTTAAGCTAGCACTAAGTCCCTCCCCCATCCACCCTTACCCTTTTCTTTACAATAAGGCTTTCTAGTAAGTCATGGTTGTACGGCAGTGAAGCATCGGTGTTGAACACTGAGGTCATGCTGTCGATGATGATGATAGTAGACGTGCTGTTCGACTGACCGAAAGAGACATGCAGTGTTTCCTTCAACCAGTAAAGTAGACAGTCAAACTAAAGACGAATAACACCAACAGTGTGGCTCAGTCAACACTTCGCGAAATAGGCTTCAACCAGACAACCTTCACTAAAACATGGCCTTCATGTTAGTCCCGTCAAGACAACTGATTTATACGAGGAACAGTTTCACCGTTGGTGGCATTCCACGTTTCGACAGCAAAAGCCTAACAAGAATGATCACCAGGATTTCTTAGAGTAACCCGTTGATTGTATATTTACAATACGGTAGGCACACCTCACCTCTTTGTCGGGAGGTCGCATGATCCATCGTTCACCGTAGGTTAGGCTTGTTGTCCTATGACCCTATCGCCTGACACAAAGCCCCAGGTAATCTTACTTCATCTTTCACACAAGGGACCGAATAATAATCGTAATTTAGCATCCACACTACCTCAGAACCTAGTGTGGAGAATTGTTTCTATGGGTGCTTGCAGCACTAATTACAGAGATGTTTGGAAACATGGAACATGGGTCCTTGTTAAAAACAGGCATTGAATTTTCACTTTTCGATCGTCTTTCGGTCAAAAACTCAATCTAACACAAATTTATTACGATAAGCGCTATGTACTGCTAGCACACTCGACATGCGACATTTCCTAGTGTGTTAAGTTTTGGGGAATGGAGAAAGCTTTAAGTGCGTCTCTTCGGTATATTCCTCCGTAGAGAACCTTTCGTCCGGTTCTAGATTTCCCAAAGGATGACTGTGGGTTGTAATTTTACTTAGTAACCTTCCATTCTTTTCGAAAAGGGTGAAGTATTCTCATTTAACCTTTGGCTAACTGATTGGGAGTTCGGATAACTGTTACTGTTTAATATTTCGTTTGGTTTTACGGCTCGACAATCTTTGAAGTGGATAACTACAGTCATTACACCCACAGTCCCGGCAATGATTTTTTCGGACAGTAGTAAACCAATGAGCCTCAAAATAGTCGACGAAATTTTCTCAGCTATCGAATTGGCATGAAATTAGACATGTAGAAAATACATTTACATTCATTATAAGTGTAAAAAAAGGAAATGGTATACAGGTCGACAAGACATCGAGACCGCTGGATTAAGGCATAATCAACCTAATCCGTCGCAACAGAGAATAACAACCCGGATAGGACCATTCCTTCCGTTTTACAATTGTGTATAATCATTTACGTGATTTGCGTCTAGGTTCACGCACAATTGTGATACATTAGCTGAGGTGAACAGTCACAGAAAACAAGCTCAGTTTACTACCTCCGTTCTTATTTTGGTGACATCCTTCCGTCACTTGAAACAACCCAAAGACCCATGCGTGCTAAAGTAGTTTCAGCAGTACTTGAGGTATGGCGCGAGGCTTGTGAGAGCCGGAACAAGGTATCTTCTTTGCAATCAGTGTCGGCTGCCTAAGCATCGTTGGCGAATTCCGTGCGGAGACAGTCAACCTGATACCAAACAAGTGTTGCACTATTTAACAGGCCTTCAACTTGAACGACCGACCCACAATACTATTCGAATGGGAACCGAATGACGGCCAGATTAAGCGGTGCGTAAAGGAAATCCTTGGGAAGACCTGAAGTGTGGCAAACACAGACCAGAAGGATGATCTTGAGCCGAATGTGGACACGACTGTCCCCTAGTTCTCTCTGGTGTATTGCGCGAAAGTGCAGTACTGTCAGTGAATTGAACAAATTCTCTAGATGAACATTGAAAACACCAAACGCTTCATAAACAAAATTGATGTATTTACAGGGAAAATGGTTCAAAGTGTGCATTGAGGTGGTCAAACAGTGCAGCTTCCACGTCTTTCGAGAATGTCTCCTGTGTGCACGGGTCGATTTTGTCCCAGATAGCGTCAAGTTCTGGCGGTAAACTCAGGCTGAGAAAGACGGGACAACGGAACCGCCTGGTAACTTTCCGAGAAAGATTCTCCTCGTTCAGGCCCAAAGAACTCCCCGGCAGTGAACCAGATGACGCCCCATAAACTTTGCTACTGTTCAATGAATCTGGGTTGCCTGGTGATGGTACACACATAGAAAGACCTGATCAACTTTTCAAATGGTGTTGTAAATTACACTTACCAGAAAAATGACCATCTTCACCTCCGATCCAAACTAACAGGGAGCCATTTAGACGTAAGGTATAGAACTTCAGACGAGTTCGTAACTTTTTAAAATCTTTCGATGTCTCATGCCAAACAAATGGGCAGCTCGATGAAACCTACGAAGAACAAAAATAGATGACTATAAGTGTAAATACGGTTGCGACAAACAGATTGAGTGACACAGATGATAGACTACTAACAGGGTGCTTCCGGCAGCTAACGAAGTGAAGCGCCATGCTGCACCTTGACTGCAGGAAGTCAATTTTGTGATAACTGAAGAGCAACATATATGTAGCTGAGGATGCTGAATAAGCCCGTACCTGCACTGTTCATTAGGTAGCTTTTCTAACAGAACATGTCTTTAGCCGGTTGAGCATACCACGCGGTAGGGCTTTGTCCTCAAGTCCTTATGAGATATCTTCAGGTTCCAAGATGTGCAACCCGAGGTATCATGGCTTCGGTGTTGCAGTGAGCTACAGACTACAAACTGCACCCAGTTTTCCAAGGCCCGACTATGTGAAAGGGGCAAACAGGGAACGGTCTGACAGAGTGTTGAGTCCCCGTACTGCGAGAAATTGTGGCGGTAGAATGAGAAGCAGACGCTGTTTTCTTATGGGTCCTCTGATGATGAAACCTTGATATCAGGCGACTGGGAACGTGGGGTTCCATCCAGTAAACAGGACGTCGAGAAATTTGTAGCAGAGGTTAACTCAGAGTCACCTACGAATCGGTCTAGAAAAGGCGAACCGCTGCCCATGGAATGAACGGCATGCATGTTGCTCACCATGCCATATCGCCAGGGTTCAGTCTGCCGAAAATAAAAATACATAAGTTAAGTGGGAATCCGGCGAAATTTCGGAATTTTATGAAGGCGTTCTAAATGAGCATGTGACCGACTCTTTGGTGACAACAATAAGCTTATATATCTTATCCATTATTGGTGCGGGGAAGCGAAAGAGACTATCGAACACTGCGTGTTCCTTCATGGAAAGGCAGGCTATCAAAAGGCCATAGATACCATCAGAACGCATTTCAGCAGGCCACACGACAGTGTACACTTGTTCATGAACGAGCTACTCGTTGGAGGGCCCATTGTTCCTAAAGACGCCGATACCTTACGAAAACTTATTAGGAAAATGGCTCACTAAGATTGAGAGATGCATGGAGAGACGGTGGTGACGGCAGGGAAGCATCAGTGGCAACACTGATGCTGCTGTCCTTGACGATGATGATGGAGAGACGTATTACACAGCGGATTTAATCTGCTCAGCAAATCTCAAGCGTATAGTGGAACGTCTACCTCGGCATTTTCAACTAAGGTAGGCCGAAGCTGCAAACGACATACTGCGTTCTGGATCACAGCTGGAATTTGATTATACAGTATCCATTCTTGACGGAAGTGCACCCATTACTTCAAATTGCTACGGTATTATTGCCAGCCCAAGATATTTTAATTAGATAGACAAAGTAGGTTTACAACGCCCACCTAGAAAGGCCGCTTCAACGACGTAGCTATGAAAGCGAGTAAAGCTTGTGATTACTATTTGCAGACTCATAACCTTTCAGACTGTGAGGTGTCTAGCACCCCGCCTCAAGTCAAGAAGCTGAGTAGACCAAAAGGCCTCAAGTTATGCTTCAATTACCTAGAGCCTAACCGTATAGTATTTTACTGTCGCGCCCCTACACGTTGCGACGTCTCGAATTGCAGCCAACGACATCACCGTCTGCTTCACGACACACGACTGACAGTAAGGAAGGCTACGAAAAATGCCACCGTTAACTCAACGGTAGTTGGGGGACCCCAGAGGTATCTTGGATCCGTAGCCAAAGAGCCAAAGGGGACTGTATTAGCTCATGATCTGTTGGATAAGTGTTCCGACACCACCCTACTAACGGCCAACGTGACAGAGCAGCATGGGGTAGAAGGGGAAGCGACCCGCATAGAAGCATTACCGGTAAATGGCTCCGACATCAAAGATACCGTGCAGTCAGCTTTGTCATATACCCTTTGCTTGACGGATATTTTGTGGACGCCAACTGTAACTACACTATCGGATCACTTCCTATCGCCAGGGCTACGATTCCGGATGATTTGTTGCTGAGCAAGCGGGTGCACCTTGTGAATGTCCAGCCTGCACGAATTCTCGGAAATGACATCTCGATTTCCCTGGGAACAAGTGTCCCAAAGGCCCACTGGGTTACCAAGCAACGCTTGGGTTTCCTGAAACATCCCTACGCAAATTTGACAGGCTTGGAGTGGGCTGTTTTCGGACTATCCCTGTCTGCTGGAACCACAGATGTCTATCATCTTAAGGTGCATCCATTAGGAGCCACTTCTTCTCCGTTATACGCTGCTTTTGCTCTGTGTAGGGTTGCTGATGACAACAGAAATGTTTCCGAAGAAAGGATAGTTTCTGCAGCACACAAAAACCTTTATGTAAATGATTGTCTCATATCAGTGGAATCTGTAGATATAGTCAAGAAACGCGTTCGTGAACTCTATTTGATTTCGAGTCCGGGCGGAGGTCGTTTGCATAAGTGCTTAAGCAACCGTCCGGAAGTCTTGAATATCATCAGTAAGCATTCGAGTTGACTTCGACACTTCAGATTCAAATTCGCGCAAGATAGTGGGTTTGTGCTGGTCTAACAAAACTTAATGCTTCCGAAACAAGGTCGACTTGCCAGAACGCCCAGCGTCCAAACGTGACATACTTTCTTGCAACGCTTCACTTTACGACCCCTTCGGATTGGTGGCCCCACTTCTATTTCAGCACAAACGATTATTACGATGTGCAAGAGGAAATGTGGCTGGGACGAACGCATCGATATAGCCATTGAATGTTTGTGGGACTGTTGATAGTGCGACATACAAATAGGCGAGGCGTTAGAAATACCTCAATGCATCATGCAAAGAAGTCAACTGCACCTAAACACACAGGACTTTACAAACCTCTTTTGACACCAAATCTACCTCTGATTTACTGACCGGAAGGTCCGTGCTTCCAATCCGACCTCCGCCACTCGCCTTCCTGTCTAGGCTTGGGCAACCTGGTAGTATCTCAGCCCTTGTGCTTCCTTCGGGTGACATGGCAGCTAGGCACCGAAAGGGTGCTATAGCTGAACGCTTTCGCTTTCTGGGATTCTCCCAGAGTTGAAGACGGTATTGGATAAACATGTATGTCCTGTGAGGCAGTTGGGAAATACATCGGTGATGATGGCATCCGCTAAGGGTAATACGAAGAAATTTACAGCCGGCGAGGAATCACTGTCTGGTGATGATAAGAGTGCAGTTTCTCTTGGATGTGTCATCTGATGATCTCCCTCTTTTCGCGCCAGAGACCAGAGAAGCATCGGTCATAATGGGTATTCCCAAATTCTTAACCTGGAACTGTTACTTTCAACGTTTCTTCCAGGTTGTTAATCAGCTCCATGCAATCTTCTGGACAACGAGCGTCCACCTTTCTGGGGTTTCCCTAAAAGTCAAATTCAGCTGTTGCATCAACTGCATTAGAAAATGAAAGTAACGGCAATGAGCCAGAGTATGACCAAGTGCCATGGAAAGCTGAGGGTTCTGTACAAAAGGAAGAATCTTCCAGTGAAGATAATAAAGATGAAGATGAACTAGATAAGAGCGTTGTGTCAGAAGAGGCTACAAAGGATTTCAGTGAAGAGATACTGGTGGGAAACTTGCAAAAAAGGGTAACACAACCCCATTTAAGAAAATAACTTAGTTGACATAGTATTTTTCACTTGAAATACGGTTCTTATCCATTATCTCGAAAGGCGTTGCCTGACCGCTTATTACTTGTCTACTGTACCTGCTCACATTAACTCCGTTTTTGCACAGCTGAGACCCTATGTTCGGATTCTTTTGGTAAGCTAAAAACTATCGCCATGTAACTGCTCCAACCCAGCTGAGACCCTATGTTCGGATTCTTTTGGTAAGCTAAAAACTATCGCCATGTAATTGCCTGCTCCAACCAGCCCAATGGCTAGCGTCCCTGCTAGGTACCTAGGTGACAAAGTCCTTGTCTTCCCAAAGTTAGGCACTTACTCCGGCCCAGCTAGTTCTTGATTCCTAGGTCATCAAACAATTCCACCCTCTTAGCTTGCTTTCATCCCCTTTAATTTTTTCCTATTGAACGCTACTTTATCTGATGCCCCCTGGCACTCACCAGACACTACTGCTCTCATCCTAATCCTTCCAGATTCTCCTCTTCCTAAGCTTTAAACTCTGACTGTTGCCAAAACGCCCCGTACAACTGTTATTCATTCAACCTGGCTTGTCTCCGGTCTACATTCACATGGTACTCCAACTGAAGGGAAATCATCCGTGACCCTGCGTTGGCCTGATTCTGTGTCAATCCCTTCGTCTAACCCAGATGGTATGGCACTGCTATACCCAGTGTGATGGCACTCCCGCAATTATTTTCTTCAGCATCTCGACCGCAAACTCTCGCCCACCCGAGTCTGCAACTGTAACTACGATCAAGTTTTTCACCTGGTTCTAACCGCCTCTGGGACGAGTTCATTCTGACCCGATGAAACTTTCGTTCGGATGTGACCAACCTGGTTTTCCGCTGCGATTTCGGCTTGCCTCCCATACACGGTGTTCGCCCTAGCAGTACACGCAGTCCAAAATAGTCGAGTTTTCCGGTTATATGACGGCTATATGACCGTCTGATAACCACCTTGCATGGTTAACGTGGTTATTTGCACCAACATAGCCGTCGAATAACCGTGTTTTCCGGTTAATGCTCCGTTAAATAACAGTCAAATAACCACGTTTTCCTGTTATTGAACGGTTGGACGGTGGTCGGACGATCAAATGGCCCTTATTAAACCATATGTCAACGGTAAATAATGGTGAAATCACCACCATATTACCGTAAATCGCTGTTATCAGACCTATTCTACTGCTACATGCATG